AAGCGGTCCAGACCTTGGGAGCTCACACTGTTCAGTGTGAAATCCCAGGGTCCAGGTGTGGCCTGAGTTGGACCCTAGATTGGAGTTCCCCAGGAGCTCATCAGGGGGCTCTAGGGGGAAGGGATATTTTATCCGTGGACAGGCTCATACTGACCGAGTTCACACCACTGTCACCCCTCCGAAGTCGGGCCAGGGGAAGTCAGCCAGATTGGGGCAGAGGAGGAGACACTAAGTAACTGCGAGTCCGAGTCCCCGGACTTTTTCTGCCTCAGTGAAGAAGTTATTTTCTGTGATGCTCAACCTGAGGATAAATCAAGAATCATTATATTTAGATAAAATTTTAGACTCATAAAGCTTAGAAGGCTGGAAGGAGGGTGAGGGCCGTCAGTCAGTATCAGCACATGTCACAGTCCAATCTCAAGACCTTCGTGTCAAGCCAGCCTCAACATGTGGAATTAAAACAACTAAACGGTAAATATGTGGACAGTCCCCTTTTCCAAGTCACAATATTGAGAGATTGTGAGAGTGTAGGGGCAGCTATCCTAATCTGTTCAGCCTCCTATAGCAGAATATCACAGACTCGTGGCAGATAAACAACAGAACTCGATTTCTCATGGTCTGGAGGCTAAATGTCCAAGATCAGGGCACCAGCAGCTTCGGTGTCTGGTAAGAGCTTGCTTCCTGGTTCACAGACAGCCATGTTCTCACTGTGTCCTCACCTGGTGCAAGGGGCACGGGAGCTCTCTGGGGTCTCTTTTATGAGGGCACAAATGCCATTCATGAGGGCTGCACCCTCATGACCCAACCACCTCCCAAAGGCCCCACCTCTTAACACCATCATATTGAGGGTGAATTTTGGAGAAACAGACGTCAGTGATTAGCAATGACTAAACCAAGCCACCTAGCACCTTTGATAGGTCTGGGGCCTGGATGGCTCCTTGGTCTGTGATCAGACTGATGTATCCACGTGTAGTCCAGTTTCCCTGAGTAACACGCTTCAGTGACTCTCAGTTCCTGCAGAACAGAGCCTGCGCTCCTTAGCCTGCACGCCTTCATCTGCAGCTCACTCGGGCAGGTTCCTCTCCCACGGCCCCCGCCTCACGGGTCAAAGACTGAGAGGAATATAGGCTTCCCATAGCATGTCTTGCTGTTTCACACACCTTGTGCCTTTACGCTGAAACTTCTTCCTCTACCCCGTATAAAAAGAAATGGTTAACTCTACTCATCTTTCAAGACAAAGTTCCAAATCTATACAAAGGAAGCCTTTGCCTTATCCCCAGAGCTGGGCTTACAGTATCTCCTCCAGCCTATCATACTTCTTAGCAGGCATCTCCATCAGCGCATTTACCATGCTTAGTGAACGAATTTACTTTGTGTGGGTCTCCTTCTGAGCTCCTGAGTATGCACCCAGGCACAGAGTTTGAGGTTTAATACAGGTTTATTGAGTAAATCAGGTGTTCCTTTGGGATTGTTTGGGTTAAGAGATTTCTTAACCTCTTCCTTCCACTGTTTTATCCTTAAGTCTTTCTTACTGCCTGGACAGTTCTTTTCATGATCTAGATGGTACCCCCATGATATAAACCAAAGCTGGCTTAGTAACAGAGTCCCGTGCCCTACACGAGAGGCACCTTGCTTTAATGACGATCGATGTGCTGCTTTTGGAGCTGACCCATTCTTAATTGATTCTCCATACCCTCAAATCATTATATTTTCCTTTATGAATAATGCAGAGGGCTTCCTCTTAAGGACAAGATCTTCTCTGTCTTGTCTGTCTCTTATTCCCTCACCTGAAACTGTGGCTACGCACATAGTAGGAAAATGGATGGATCTTGTTCATTTCCCTCTAGAACTATCTCCCTATTTTCTTGGAAGCTGTTTTATCCTGCCCCACCCTGTTCCCCAACACCTAGAGCTGGGAAAGAACAGTGTTTTATCCTTCCTTAGGAAAACCCAATCTCACAATATCTTAAAAAGCTTCTGTGGTCAATGAGGTATTACTTCTCCAACCATCTGTATGAGAACCCTCCCCAGAGTATATTAGAATTGATGTGTAAAACTGTTTCTTCCTTTAGAGAAAACTAACAAGCCTTGCACAGAAGTTCAGCTTGTGCATGGCGTATAGCACGTGATGACTATGGGAGTGTCTGGAACTTGTTACTGAATGACAGTTGTGTAATGATGGAGTAGATTTAATCTTGCCAGTGAGAAAGAAAGACATTACTCTTTTTTGTCAAACCATTCAATTCTATTGAATAAATTATCCCCGTCAAAGCCCTAACATGGCTTACCCTGGAATAACAGCAGAGTTTTATAGAACTGACCTAAATTTAGTCCTCTTTTCTCTACCCACCAAGATTGATTTAAAGTATTGCAATATTTTTCATTCAGACACATCATTTTTTTGCTAATGAGTATATTTTAGAAAGATTACTTACAAAAGAAGAAATTGTATCACGCCTGGATGTAAACTCTGATAGGACAGCCGTGTGTGATGATGCACGTTACCCCTGCACGACTCCAGAGAGCACCATTCCAATAGGCTGCAATGTTAAGTGGTGCCTCCTAGAGGCGGGAGGTGCAAAACTTGCCAGCCTTAAAAAATACCCCTTCCTCAAAAGGATAAATGTAGATAATTAGGTGTTCCAACTAACACAAATTGAAAATGAGCAAAAACTAAAATGGTGTGGACACTCAAACCTTTAAAGAAATTTGAAGGTTAAAAAAAACCCTCTCAATGCTTTTTATTTTTATTTTTGAAAGGTGTTAATTACCTAGTATTGTATGGGGAAGAGAAAAAGCTGAAACTGAGGTGTGCACTCTACCACAGCCAAAGGTTACAACAAGGAAGGAGTAATTAACATCAATGAATCATATTGCCCTAGGAATCTAAAAAATGAAAAATTAATTTTCTGGCAAGGCAGTTGGAAATTTTTTATAAATTGATTGGTCATTAAAATGATTCTGGGGTTACTTGTTAAACATAAAAGATGGCTTGGAGTAATCCCTAACTGACTTGATACCAAAGCCTGGTGTGGGAAGAAGAGAATGATCCAGTATTTAATTATTATTATGTGTCTAAATCTATGTCTGAATTTTATAGGAAGCAAAATGTATTATTTGGTGGAACTGAAGGATTCGTTATAATAATTAAGGATAGAATGTTATTCCTAAATTTACAACAAGCACATGATAAAGCAGAACTTTTAAAGTATAGGTTTGGATGAAATGCAGAACAAAAGACCTACATTGGCCTCTGTAACAACTGGCATAACAATGTGATAATTATAAACTACGCTTTGGCCCTCATACCCTCAAGTGTAATTTAATGAATAGATTATCAAGCAGCAAAAAAAGAGAAAGGGACTAACATTTACAAAGGACTATTTTGTGCTGGATACGTAACTGTTACCGATTCACTTAATTCTCGTAATCACCCTGGAAAGTAGACGTTGCCCTGTTTTACGTGCTGAATTTCTGGAGGATGGTAAGTGCTCATAGTCACCCAGTTAGAACACCCAAGTTAGCTCTGGCTCAGATATTGTGCTATTTCTCCCATACTAGATGCCTCTCCAACACAGCCCACAGGTGTACAAACTTAGGAGTATTTTTAAGAAAGAGCAATCATGATATCTAATAAAGAGAGTATAATTGTAAGTGACAGATGCTGCCCAACTGATCAAATACTATTTACTGTGGTTGATAATGCCCTAAAATGAGGGACCCTACTCAATTTTAAAGCTCTTTTTTAATACTACTAAAATATTCTTCCTTCATTTCTTTTTCCCTTAGATCACTTTATGAACTGCCTTGTATTTGCCATGATGATTATCTCCATAAATGTTACAATTATTTAAAACACTCCAAAAGTGGTTATGGGAGAGAGAACAAGACAGACAGACGTAGATACGGAGATTGAGAAAAACGACACAGTAAGATTTGACAGCACTAACTGGAGAAATTATATATGAAAAGTAATGGGGAGCCTCTGATACTTCTGCTGTGGTTAAAAACCACATTTCAGTGGAACCACACTTAGCTAACACTGTCCATATTTCATACTATGCAAAGACAATAGTAATCTGCACAATAAAATAATTAATGTTGAATTACAGAGGCTGGCTAATAACTTCCCTATGTGAATTTTCATGCATTAAATAATGATGGTGAAAGCTAATAGGTACTGACCACTAAGCACTTAGGCATGCCAGC